GGAAGAATGTAATCGACGTAACTGAATTGTACATGTAGAAATTTTTGAAACGGTGTATTTTTGGCCATGTAGATTTTCACCAGAAAAAAAAAAGTCCTCCAAGGCCAAGAAGGGAGAGTGTTGACATGTTGTGGGGTTGTTAACCAATGTCATAAAACAATATGTGTACTGACTGTATAACGACAAAATATTTGTTCTGTAAATCCTCACCTAAAGTACAATAAAAGAAAAAAGTGGTAGGTGTGTGCCGATACCACTCTAGTTTCTGTTTGTTTGCAAACGATCAAATAAAACGTTTTAACGAATCTGTTTTTGTCCCATGCGTTACGTAGCTGAGTTTGATTACATTACAAGGCTGCACTCTTTCTTTTCTTACCAAACTGTGGGTTGGATCATACAAATGTGGGCCCAAACTGCCTGGATTTTTGGATGTCAACTCTTCTTCAGGGACAGGAAATTAAAACCAGGAATTACATGCAGGTATTTACTAGGAAAGGCCAACAGACAGCTCAAGACAGAGCAAGGGGACACTCACAGTCGGGACAGCAGCCGTTGAAAGCCATCCGGCAGATGCCACAGTTCTCGTCGTTGGCCACCCAGAGCCAAGTGGCCACGCCGTTCCAGCACTTGATCTTCACCTTCATACCCAGGAGCTTTCAGGCTGAGGGGCAGAGGATTACCTTGCTAAATTTAGTCTGCAGAGCTGCAACACTTGGGCAGCAAACAAGGCGCACTTGTCTGAGCCAAGAGGGTCAACACCGCCGGGCCTGGCTGGGCCAACACGGTGCTGCTCCACTCGGAGCACAGGGAAAGGTGCGCCGAGGGGGTACTCCGCTGTCAAGAAACATCTACTAGAAATCCCTTTTAGAACCAAGAGAGAAAGCCGAAAACGCGTCTCCAAGCAAGGGGACTCGGCTCCCGAGAAGCCGCGGATCACGTTTAGGACAAGAGGAGACTGTCCCGTGTTCCGTTTTGCCAACCACATTTAGGATGCCTTCAAGGACCTCAAGTTATACCTTGAAACTCATAAAAGGGCACGTAGGTTCCCATTAGCGAATTGTAAAACTATGCCTTCCAATACTTTTTTAAAAGAACGTGATTTGCAAACAATGAGAGTCACTAACTTGGGCCTTACGGATGGAGGCCAAAAATCCAGTTCAGTGTGAGTTTTCACCTCCAGAAACCAACCAACCAACCAACCCTCCCCTCTAAAAAATCAGCGTGTGCTCCGGGCCCCCACCCGCCTCCGGGATGCGGCCGAGGTGAATGTACCTGGTGACACAACCAAATGACAAAGTGCCGAGAGACGACTCGTCCGAAAGGGTGGACGGGAGGGAGTAGGTGGGAAATGGAGGTAATGCTTCAGTTACCTCCCAGGGAAGCTCGGCGTTACAGCTGACAAGGGAGGCCGGAGCTCCCCCTCCTACGTCGGGAACCCAGCTCCACCCGCCCTCTAGCCCCGCACCCCAAGTGCAGGCGCTCCAGTCCCCGGAGCCCAGACTTCCGCAGCCCGAGCCGGGTCCGGCGAAGCGAGGCCACGGAGCCCCCGCCCCCGGCTCGGGGCGGGAAGGCGCGGGGGAGGGGCGCTCCGCCCCAGGCCCCGCCCCCAACAGCCGCCATCCAACCCGCGCACCTTCTGCTATCTAATCAGCGCGGCCCCGCCCGCCCGTCCGTTGGCAGCGCCCGCGTCCGCGCGGGAAGGTATAAAAACGACCGCGGCCGCTGCCTGGCACCTTTCGCGGAGCGCCCGCTGAGGTCTGCGCGCCAGTGCGCCTGCGTCGCCCTGCCCCTTGCGCTCGGCCGCCCGTCCGCAGCCAATCAGCGGCCGCTCCGAGGCCTCGGCTCCAGAAGGCCCCGCGCGGCGAAGGAAGTGACGCTGCGGCGTGCTGACGCGCGGGCTCGAGCCGAGGCCGATTCCGCGCCCGCCATGGCCGACAAAATGGACATGTCTCTGGACGACATCATCAAACTGAACCGGAGCCAGCGCGGCGGCCGTGGCGGGGGCCGGGGCCGCGGC